AACTTGACAGCCTGGGTTCAAGACGTGAGCGCCATGTGATGGGGTGAGCTTTTGTTATTTGCCTCAGCTCCTGCCAACTTAGCAGTTCAAAAGCATCCAAATGCAAGTAGATTCAGTATATCCAGTGGGCATTCTGGAATTTATAGCCCAACGCATTTGGAAGTGGTTGCTGCAAACAGTTTCTCCATTATCTGAAAAAAGGCCATTTGAATCTATTTACATATTTTTGTGCAATTCTCATTCTGCTAGTCTGTGAGTGAAAATGCAACTAGGCAGAGTATTGGAGCTTCCTACCAAAAATAACCAGAAATCCTAATGAGGCATTTACAGCAAATAAACAGAACACAGAGAGAAAATTTACCTCCCTGTGAGCAGCCCCTTGTCCAGCAGAAGTCACTTAAACAGAACAGGGATGTGATCAGTGTAGTGAAAATATGTTTATTTTGTATTTGAAAACATTACTCTGGGGAGAGCCAGATCAAGGGACATGGAATGCTTATTTAAACAACTTTATAAAACTGCCTAATGCATCCAACTCTGGGCAGCTTATAATAAAAGCTTCTTTTAAAAAAATGAGGGGGCCAAACCAGATAAAAAGAACCAAAGGCAAGCCTGATTCTGCAAAAAAACATCACCTAGTGAGAATGTCTATAGAGATTCTCAATCATCTGGATCATGGATGAAGAAGCTTCTTGAAGCTTCAAAGAAAAACCAAAAAGTCCATTTGCCTCTTGAAAAAGCACCAATTAGAAGAATATTTTATCCTATGGCCTGGGGAAGAGAGCCAGAACTTCAAATTTTCTTAAAAGATGACAGGGTCAGGGCCACACAAATTCCCAAGGCAGATGGTAGATGCTTCTCCAGAGAAGGTGTGCTTCCTGGGATCCTTTAGATATTGTTTCAAGGAACATGCTCCGTTTGCTGGATCTGCCAGTGGACAACAATAATGGGAGAAAGTGGATTCCTTGAGTAACCACATCCTACACACGAAGGGTTTTATAGGTCACCACCAGCATCTCAAATTGCACACAGAAACTCAAAGTAACCATTACAGCTCAGGAAGTATAAGTGTCGCATAAGGCTCATTCTGAACCAATCACAGATTCCAAATGGTTTTCAAAGGCAACCCTTTGTAGATGCATTGAAAAAGTCTAAATGTGAAGTGTTTAAGGTATGAGTGTCTGAGAGAAGGGATTCCCAGTCCAGGAGGAACAAAACTGGTACAATAGGTGAATCTGGACTAAGGAGTCACAGCCTCTTTAAACAGGAGCAGGTAATCAAGGAGAACTCTAAAATTGTATACCAGTTCTGTGCAACACCAGATCTTGGGAGAGCTAAAAATTCATAGCTTCTCCATTGTGTAAAATCAAATTAAAGCCTGTCCCTCTCTGTCTAGATCTTCAAAGTCTCAAAGCAGTGGGACATGGTATTACCAATTTTACTTGATCAGCTCAAGGTTGAGATGTATGGCTGAGTATCATCAGCATACCAACGAAACAGACATTGTGCTGGCTATTGATCTCACTTAACAGTTTTATATAGATGTTAAAACAGAGGTAAGAGTTTCAAGTCCTAGTACAACCCATGAGTAAAGTCCAAAGGCTTGACATCTCTCTCTCCCCAAACCACTAATACCAACTGGAATTTACTTAAGAGAAAGGAAAGCCACCCAACCCTACTCCTGGTTCCAACTCCTTATCCCCAGTCAATGGTACTGAAAGCAGCTGAGATATCAAGGAAATCCAGGTCGCATCAATCCCTACATCCCAATGTCCTTAGAAATTGTCCATAAGCACCATCAGTGCTATCTGTATACTATGTTCTGGCCTGAAAACTTACTGAACTTATAGGTAAGCTTTCTTCAGCTCATATAGATCAAGCTACTAGTTCCCAAATGATTTCCCCCATTCCTTGCCAGTCAAACTTAATGCACTCATTGGTCTCTTCCACATGACCAAATCAGTGTAATATTGATCCCCTTGAGCCAAGAGAAAAATATGCTGGCATGAATTGTATTACCCTTACTTCCCATCCCTGTTGCCAGATAACATTAACAAGGTCAATAAACAGTTCTAACTATTGCAAAGGATTAATAGATTCCACTGGACTCATTTTTCCTCCCACCAAACATTCCATCTGCAGGAACACCAATATCTAACATAGATTGGGCAAATTTGGAAAGATTCATCAAGTGATAACTTTAGTCATTTGATTAACAAGGACAGAGAAGAAAGGATGAAGCAGAAAGGAATCATAATAGTATTTTGAGATGGTGCAACTTTTCTCCCATGTCTCTTACCTATTAGGCTATTTCTGAAGATGGGTATAGCAATTTTCTGAAAGAATGTTAAATAGCCTGACCCACAAATAACAGGTGTACAGAGTGCGTAGGATGCAGCAGGAGGAACAATCAATGAAAAGCTAGTCATCTATCGCCACCAAGGGAAGGGCGGTGCTGTCAACAAGTGACTAGGAATGATGTCCACTTCCCCCTCACTAGGGGGAGAGATGGAGAGAGAGGGAGGGAGGGAGGGAGAGAGAGAGAGAATCTGCATTTTGCTGATTCTTAGACAGCAATCCTAACAATTTTCAGCACTCTAACTGCCTCCTCAGAGATAATTAACAATAATACAAGGATTAAAAAGAGCAGCCATAAAAATCCCTTTGTTGGCAGAAGCAACAGAAAACCTGAAATGAATCCAATGATGACAGAGCTAGTAGCATAACAATGGGCACCATCCAACTTTCTTTCTTAATTTCAAGTGATATTCTGGTAGTACAAGTCTTGCATTCTTTCAAAGCAACAATAACCCTGTGTTTTAAAAAAACCGGTCCAAAGCAGTAAAGATTTGTTTATAAAGGGTTAACATAAACCCTGACAAGGGATATGGAAAGTAATGAACAGGCATGACATGGGCAAAGGCCTATGTGGAATCCAACTGTTGTCGTACAGTCTTGCTGTACAGTAATGGGCTGTGTGAAAATAGCCTTGGGTAAACAGGAGGAAGAGCCGCAGCCTAGAACAGGGGTCTCCAACCCTGGCAACTTTAAGCCTTGAGGATTTCTGACCCTGGAGCTGGCTGGGGAATTCTGGGAGTTGAAGTCCTCTAGGCTTAAAGCTGCCAAGGTTGGAGACCCCTGGTTTAGAGAACAGTCTGAGAACAGAAATCTGAATCCAAAAGAGGGATGGGTATGAAAACATCATCTCAGATTGTACCCTCCCTAGTTTTCTGGAGAGTAAAAATAAGTGAGGGGTGTGTGTGTGTGCTTTCAGGTTTGCAAGATTCCGTCAAGGTAACTTTACAAAGAAGGTAGTGTTAATACCGGTACTTCTTGTCTGGACTACCTCAAAGGGCTGACATCTGCAGCTTCACATGAAAGGCCAGAGAGAATTGTGCTAAGCAACCAGACATAGGGGGTCATGCCTGAAGGTATAGCAGATAGGTTCCAAACTTTAACAGTACCATATACCAAATGATGTAAAATATGCCAGAATGTATCTGTAGAATAAGAAGTAAAACATGACTTGAAAATCAGAAGAGCTAAAAACAACTTTGTTTCTTTAGACATGGACTGAGTATGAGTCCATGCCTAAGGTGACTTTTAGAAATAGTGACTTTTGTTTTGTGTGTGTGTGTGTGTGTGTGTGTGTGTGTGTGTGTGTGTTTGAGAGAGATTTAATCTATTATATTGTCACTTTTTTCTTCCTATAATGCTCCTGGTTTTATTATAGACTGTGGACTAGGGGAGAAATATAAATCTCTCCTTCCTGTGGCTCCTCTCTGTGACTTTTTATACACACACATTTATTTAATTTTCCTGAAGGCATTATGTCTCTTCCCGTTAGTTCATTTCCATGACTTGATGTAGCACCAACTAGGAAAGTGAAGTAGAAGGGAAGTGAATAGGTAGATGAAATGGATGTTTTGGATTGAAATCTGAATACAAGAAGAGTTTGGAAGGCCATGACATCGAGTGCATTTCTGCAAGCAACATAAACCATTGGGATTTCTGTTTCCAGTCCCAAAAACTTGATGGTGTGGATTGCATGGTTTTGGACTTAATTGTTGTGTGAACCTAACCAATTGTGGTTACTCTGGAGATTAAACCCTAATATGGTTTGAATAAAACTAAGGGAACTTAAAAGTCACATTATGTCCATACTTGTAGAGTAGAATGTACTATTGTCGTATCTGTCTGTCTGCAAGAATAGACACAATAACTCTATTAATTACTGTCCTCCACCAAGCCCAAGTCTGGACAGGCCAATCCTGTATTTTATTTTATTTTTAAAAACCTTCATGGCTAAGTGGGGGGGGGGGTCAGTCTGGAAAATGGAAACTTATCCAGAGCTGCTCCAATAGTTAAAAAAACTAGGATCAGAATAATGTAGAAAAAAGCTAGCAACCTCCTTTAGAGGATGGGAGTTTCCCACCCTGCCATCTATGCCTATCTTTGGGTGGGGCAGCATTCTAGTTTGAATGATGGAGCAAGGGAAGAGAGACTTTTCCAAGCCTGGGGGTTTGAGTTGGTTATTATTGTATATTATCAAATTTGGGATAGGAAGAACCAGGTATAGAGTTTACTTGGAAACAAACTTGTCCTGCTATATTTTCAAATCCATGTTTGAAAGTCAGGCTTTGTTTCCAAAGGTTAAAAATAACCTAACCTCACCTCCCCTCCTTCAATATAGGAAAGCAATCGTCGGCACACACCGACCAGAACGTTAAGGCCACTGACCTCAAAACAAGCTTCCTTTTGAGTACTGTAGTGTATGAAAGCATAAAATTGCACCGCGCCTCAAGCTGTCCTGGAAAGCCGGGGGGGGGAGGGGGGGAGTAACGCCTGAGCGGGTTTTCATTAAGTTTTGAACTTCCCTTTCGCAGCCAGCAAACGCGTAGGAAAGAGACCTTCCCCGTTTTCTTTCAACCGGGTGAGGGGTGGGAAAGCGCTCGGCAGCTGGAATCGTGGAGGGGAGGCGGCGGGTCTTCCCAACTTACCGCAGACTCCGGCGGCGACCAGAAGCAGACTAAAGACCAGAAGTGCAGGGGAGGCAAACTTGCCCATCTCAACTTAACAAATCTGCCAAGCGGAGCGGAGCAGTCTGTTCCCGAAAGGTCCGCCCCGAAGATCAGCCAAGTTGTAAGCGAACTGTATCGCCGAGGGATCCGAAGATCGGGCAGATGCGGCCACAGAGAGGAAACAACTGTCAGATGGGAGTCACGGAATGCTCCCGCCGGTCGCCGAGGTCGCAGCTTCGTAGGATCCTTTTCTCCACCCCTCCCAGAAAGACGGGGGAGGGGGGCTTGGCAGGGGAGGAGACGACCTCTGCCAGCCACTGCTGTACACCCTTTATCCCTGGCAAAGATTTCCTCCCCCAGTGCCTAAATTCATTGGCATTCAACCCCCCCCCCTTTTTTTTTTGTGGCGGAATGAACCCTGAACCTCTCTATTCCTTCTGCGTATAATTCTCTTACAGTAGTGGAGCTACTATAAGAAAACTACGTGAACCAAACGTGAGAAAAACACCCCCCTCCTTTTAACCTACTTGACCCTCTGAGTTTAATGACAAATTTAAAGAAACAGCAGCAATCGTCCCATTCAAACTGGCGCCAATTCCTAACCGCAAACTATTTCTTTACTTCCTTCTACTTTTTTTGAGGATCGGTTCCTTGACCATTGTCACAATTGATTCGGAAATGGGAACTGTAGTCCTTGGGGGGGGGGGGGTCGAGGAAGAAGTTGAGAGAGGCTAGGGCATTTTCCTCCCAATCCAGCCCCTCCATCCAGCTACCTGCCTGGAGAAAGCAGAGTATACCTTAGTCAAGCAAGTTATACCTTGGACTTGTCCACCTCGGCATCATCTCCCATCATCCCCTACAAATTTACAAATGCAAAAAATCTCATAGAAGTGTATAATCCTTGGAGAAATAGTTACTTAAATGCTCTTCTCTTAAACTGATTTTAGATGGGTTATTTTGTATATCCACCTAGAGTTTTGCATAGCCTTCTCAAAATTTTGATTTATCAAAGAATTTGTATAGCAATCATTGCTCTAGAGATAATTACAGAACAAGAAGTATCATACAAATTCAGATTTGAGATGATTGAATAAGGTTTACTTTTTTTTACAAAGCATAGAATAAGTAAGGTGGTATGTATAACATTACAACATGCTTTAAAGATTGCATTCTGCAGTTCTAATTTAGAAAAACTGAATTCTATTATCAATATAATCATATAAACTAAATCAAATATAAACCAATTATACAATTGTATTGGCTTCTTCTGGTTGTGTTAAACATGGGAAACAACTTTATCCCCTCCTTCTGATATTTCAGCAGACATTCCTCACAACTTTCCAAGTCAAGGCAAAGGGACTAGACGTTAACCAAGACTGAAGAAATTTAACTTGGAACTTAGACAAGGGTGTGTGAGAGGGGACTAATATTTCATTATTTTCTGGATGATGTCCGCCTGAATATTTTTAGCCTACAAAATGTTCATCTGAATGCCTTATCTCTAGAAAACAGAATGCAAGTAAAAATCCCTGATTGCTTGCTACCTGCTTAATTAAATAAGATACACTCAATGCACTATCAAAAGAAGGAATAATGAGATGGGAAAATGGCATGTCTGGAATCTTTTGGTAAAGGACTTCAAAACAGACTGAAAGCTCTTGAGCTTCTTTAATGTACATGCGGATAAGTTTCTCAGTCACATGTAGCCTGCCTTGATCTCATTTGGTCTCTTTTGTCTTGCTGCCCTCTTGCGTGCAAAAATAAAATCCTCATAGTCAGGCAAAGACCTTTTCCTAGCTTCTTTTTAAACACACAACTGATACTGAGGAAAATTGAATTGGATGTGGGTGTTCTAACACTTCCAGTTCTAATTCCCAACCTGAACATGTTGGCAGGTATTCCAAAATCATATCACTTGATTGCTTATAGTGGACCAAGTTCCAAGCAATAAAAGTTTTTTTTATTCAACCTGTTTACACTTTTATAAGTATCTCTATACACTACTAATATACTCTTCTATACTGTATCTTTGGCAACAAGATCCATCTAAGGCAGGGGTGAAACTCAACAGGTTCTGACAGGTTCTGGGGAACTAGTAGCAGAAATTTTGAGTAGTTCGGAGAACTGGCAAATACCACCTCTGGCTGGCCCCAGAGTGGGGTGGGAATGGAGATTTTGCAATATCCTTCCCCTGCCATGCCCACCAAGCCATGCCCACAGTAAAAATAATTGAATCTCACCTCTGATCTAAGGGCTTCAAAATAGAAGTCCCCTTGGGAGTGGAAGGGCTACTTGAGAGTTTCAATGTTCCTTGTGAGCAGGACCATTTGGAATACAGTGGATTAATTACAGTTGAGCCTTAAATGGGCTCTGGCTATGGAGGCATGCATGAGAATTTCTATTACGGACTCAGGGAGAAGCTAAATAAATAGATTTATTGGAAAACTATAAATTTTGGATATGACTCCTTCCTTGAGGGCATTTGTTTCTTCAGAACTTCTTTTCTACCTCAGCATCCTGTTAAAAGTGAAACTAAGACTATTGCCTGCTGGCCCAACAGGATTCTCGCCTCTCCATTATTTAGCATAATTTTCAACTATACATTCTAAATGTGTCCACACCAGTATTAGATACATTGGAGTACACTTTGCAATATAATTACCCACTATAACAATTTGTCCATGCAGAATGAGGTTTGAATGAGTTTTAGTCCAATGCATAGGAGATTCACCAGGTGAGAAAAGGATGATCTTTAGCTTTAAAAAAAAAAAGATTTCAGGATCATTTCAACTAATCCCAGAAGCTCTGAAGGATCACTTTCTCCCACTTTCAATATTGAATTATGAGGTCCTCTTCAGAGGAGCTGTTGCAGATGTGAAGGGTGGGGACACAATTATTAGAGGCAAAGTTGTGTTAGCGGTGACATAATCATTGTAGTATTCCTTTCCTAGAAGATGCCTTCCTGCAGTATTCATGCTAGGCACTTTGGCACTAAAATGTTATTTTAAAACAGTTTAATGTTTTAAAAATATCAATATATACTCTTCTGAACATTATCTGCATACTTGGTCATTGTTTCCATTTACTAAGAACTACTTATGCAAAAAAAACCACCATTTATGTCCCATATAATTTTATGGTATTAAGAATTTTATATTGTAAGACTATAAGAAGAACTCTGTGGATCCTGGATCAGATTACAAACAATCTATTCTGTTTCTATAATGGTCACTTTTGTTTCTGGGAAGCTCAAGAGCAACATGTAGATATGACAGCACACAGTGTGGTTCCTCTTCTGCAACTATTGATCTACCGCAGTGATGTGACTTGGTGGTTTGCATGAAGGAAGGGAGATAGTAACAGTAAAATTCAAAACTGTAACAATTAATTGCACATTTATTCAAAATCCAATTTAAAAACCTTTTTAGTTAATGTTAATTCAACAAAATTGTTGAACATGATCCAGTGATACCAGGTTTTCAAAGTCTGATAGTCATTTATCAAGAACCTAAGTAACTAGTAACTTAGTAAACTCAGTAAAATTTAGTAACTACTTCACTGTTCAGTAAATTCTTAATGTGATGGATGGGCTTGATGAAGTGATAACAGAAAAAATGTCTTTTCAAAGAAAGTGGCAATCAGCTATTTCCCAAACTGTAGGCAAAACTACAGGATGTGGGACCTGGAGGATCCTCATTTTTAAAAACCTGGTTACAGGCAGAGGAAGAGCTCAAGACTCTGACCCAAGCCACAGGGGGAACTTGTGGTACCCAAAACTAGAACCCCTGATTTCTAGATTTAAACCTTAAATATTGAAATGGCCCATTTCTTCCCAACTTCCAATGAAACCATTCCATTTACTGTCATGCAAATCTCCCTTGTGGGTATGATGGATTCCTTCCCCCCATGTATTTCCCACCCGCCTCCTCAGCTTCCCTGCTGTATTTATGATTGGCACGGCGCTCTTCTCTCTGGGGCCAGGGAGCAGCCTGAGCACTGGTGCAGGCCGGCAGAGAAAGAGAGGCAGCCCATCCTCTGCCTCCTCTTGCAAAGAGACTCGGCAGCCCTCCAGGACCCTCCCCCCCCCTCTCTCTCTCTCTCTCCCCCCAGGCTTAGGAACCCACCTCTCTGCTCTCCCACTTCCGGGCTCCAAAGCAGACAGGAGGCCCATACACTCGGGCTTTGGTGCCTCAACTCGCCGAAGGAAGCTTGACTCCTACGGCAACCCTGGATCGCTTTTTTCAATCCGGGTTTTAAAAAAATAAATAAATCAGGGAGGAGGGGCACAAAACGGAATAGCCAGGCAAAGCCCTTGCTTTGTGGGTAAGGATTTCAAGAGGAGCTCCCAAGCAGGGAGAAGGAGCCTTGGGAAAGAAACAAGTTGGCTTCTCTGCTTTGCTTTTAAATGCACCCATAGGTGTGCGTTTCTCCGTTTCCTTCCCTATCGCTGGTATGAGACTCTTGCTGGAGGCTGGATAGCCTTTCTGGGGCTTGTTATTTACACACAACACACTATATCCCCTTCTATGGCCCTGTTATTCCAAGTAAAGTCTTGCGCCCTGCAAGGGGGCCACCTCCAGCACTCCTCTGCCACCTTCCTTGCCTCTTAGCACCCCCCTGCCACCCCCCTTGCCCCTTAGCACCCACCTAAGTCATCCCACCGCTCCCCAAGGGGCAGTACTGCCTACTTTGAGAACCACTGGTCTACCCGAATACGACTCTGATTTACTCATATTAATCAGTTGTGCTATTATAGTGCAACGGTTGTATGCTCTAGGGTAAAAATAGTCCAAGAAATAATTTTCTTAGGTAGCATTCTATAAGCATAATAGATAAATAAAACAAAAATGATCACCTAAAAAGGTAGTGCTAGTTTAGGAAAAGTGCCTGAACCTCATTCTAATCAGAAGCACTATTTGGGGAAAACACATTTTATGACGCATAAGAAATGAGGGTAAACTCTTTGCATAATGTATTTATAATCTACGGTGAATTTGGATGCAAGAATTCTCAAATTAGCTTCCCACCCTTTCCAGCTTTACAGCAAGAAAAAATACTTGCAACTACCCATTAGAGATTATAGTAATAATGTATACTGAAACTAGACCAGGCTATGGAAAAAGATTTTTTTTAAAAGACTGGAAAAAGGCTGATCAGGTGATCTTTGATCCCTCTCAACGCACAGTCTGAGAAAGAAACTTCTTAGGTTCGAAGCCCATACAGGGTCTTTCCCTTTAAAACTGTAAGGAGAGGAGAGGTATTCTTTGCTAATCTCAGGGAGAACAGTTGTCAACTGGAGATGCAGCTGATAAGCTTAGTGATTAGATACAGCGAAAGAATGGATTTACACACAGCACCACAGGAGCTCTTTGGAAAAAA